CGAAGTACGAGTCACCTAATACTTATCAACACAATGGGAGTTATTAGCAGGTTTATGTCAAATCCACGAAAAACATTGGGAAGCAGTGAAGTGGATTTTGAGGTATCTACGAGGTACTACAGAAAAGTGCTAATACTTTGGTAAAGGTGATTTAACAGTACAAGGTTATGTCGATGCAGACTTTGGAGGAGAAGTCGATCGTTGTAAAAGCACCACAGGATATATATTCACGGTTGGAAATACAACGGTTAGTTGGATGTTGCAACTACAAAAGATTGTTGCTCTATCCACTACGGAGGCTGAATATGTAGCGGTAACCGAAGCTAGTAAGGAGATGATATGGCTTCAGGGTTTGGGATTCAAGCAAGAGAATAATGTATTGTACAGTGACAGTCAAAGTGCAATACACTTGGCAAAGAATTTAGCATTTCATTCTAGAACTAAGCATATTGGACTTCGCTATCATTTCATAAGATCTCTATTAGAAGATGAAGTGTTAAAACTAGAGAAAATTAAAGGAACTGAGAATCCGGCAGATATGTTAACAAAGACGGTGACTATTGACAAACTGAAGTTGTGTTCAGCTTTAGTTGGCCTACATAAGTAACATACGAGAAAGTTGAGCTGCATGAAGTAAGGTGTGAAGACAAATTAAAAAATTAGTCTTCACGTGGGAGATTGTTAAGATCACCACAATTTTAAAAAAGGAAAACAAATATAAGCCTTAAAATTTCTTAGCAATACGTGAATGATTTCCTACGAAATGTGAAGGAGAAAATAGTTTTCTAAATTTAAGAAGTCATATTTAGAAATATTAGGATCTATATAAACTTAAGTTATGATTTGTTATATTCATCCCAAAAACAAAAGAAAATATAAAGCAGAGAGAGAAGCTTTAAGAGAATTTTTAGAGAAAATTCTCGGGTGTGATTGGGTGCATATGTTGTGAGTTATAATAAGTGTTCTGAACACTTGTGTATTATTTATTTTTTTTCAATAAATTTTGCAGCATAACTAGAGACACAAATATTTGTTCATTTATTTGTATTATTCCTATATATTTTTTTATTCCACTAATCTGTATTCTAAAGGGAATTTGCATAGTATTTTTAAACATTTAGGAGTAGCTAACTAACTAGGTTCATAGGTGTTTTCAATACCATTGACATACTGCCAGACCACCAAATACATGAGTAAAGTAACCCCCTCACCCCTCCCCCCTCCTTCGCACACACATATCGAAAAGTGAGGAGAGCAAGGCACATTAATATAGAAGGTGGGTTACAATATACTTTCTAATCATTAGTTCAGACTAGAGATCACCAATAAACTTGACAGGTGATAATTTTTCAGAGACCATTGGCTGCCAGATTTTATCTACTTGGAACTAGTCAAATACTAAGCCTTTTATTCCCTCCCAGTCAACATTTTTGGAATTGGATCCAACTCAGGATTTTTAAGAATAAGAGAGATTATTGACATTGTGGTTCCTCAACATAATACCAATGCCTCTAAAAAATAGCAATTTTTTGGCAATCGGCATTGTGATCACAACAATAATAACATAATCCCAATGCCTTAAAAGAACCTCCTCCTTAGGCCGTATTGTTAGCCAATGTTTTAATCGACCTCTGAATGCAAATAACCTATTCCCACATCCAATAAACTGCATAATGGGAAACAAAACTACTTCTTAGATCCAATATGTAGGCTTATACTTGGCAATTGGTAATGTGATTACAAGTTTACAACAGCAATTGCATAATCCCAATGCCTTGAAAGAACGTGTTCCCTAGGCCGTATATACAACCTTATTTTTGCAACAATAAAGACCCTATGCCCACATCCAATAAGCTATTACAGGGGGGAAATAATACTTGAATCCAACAGCAGCTCTAATTGTCTAGCCATATTGATTATGAGGATGGCAATGATCATAATATAACCGGGTTCAACGCGATTCGTAACCAAATGGATCCCTTACTAATTGCAACATCTACATTTAGCAAAAATCAATCTAATGCTTTGAATTCGACAATAGAAAATAATCTAATCCCTAACCCCACAAATGTTTTGGACATGTATGAAGTTCCTCGGTTGTCATCAAATTATACAATAACAAATCCATTATTTCTTCTATCATACATCATTAAATCATCAAGAAGAATATACAGACTGATGAAAGTATTCAACTTTATATAATAGAGCAACAAAACCCAAGAAATTACTAAACATATGATCAATTTGTTTGAAAATGTAAGTATTTTACCTAAATTAAAAGTACCATGATGATTAACTAAGCTAATTTTAATAATGTTGACCAAAAATGAATAATACCCATCAATTATAATAACCCATTAAATGGAAAGAGAGATAGAAAGTACCAGAGAGAGATTGAAGAAGAAGATTGGAGAGGAGAAGCAGTAATAAAACAAAGAAGTGATCTTGTTTCATCTTTTACTCTTTGAGGGGAATAATCAATCGTCAAATTTTGGGAGACATGTTTAGATGTTCAGTATTCCAGTAGACTTTTCTTGCCAATTTTGGGGATTTTGATTGAAGGGCTTTTCTGAGTAATGTAGAAGAACAGGAGAGGGAATTCTATGGCAAAACTTTGTTCGATTGGTCTATTGTCGAAAGTGTAACGTCTAAAGACGGGTATGCGAAATTCGAGTGTAAGTTGAATTGGATTTAGGTTATGGGTAGTTCACCTTATTTTTACATATTTTAAATTAGATCAGAAAAAATAGACATATTTATTTGTTTTGTGTGTCCTTTTTTAACATTATATTACTCTGTAGGTATCTTTAATTTTATAATGAAAAAAAATTATAAAAATTACTTATTGATAAAATACTCATTATTACGAATAAGGTCAAAGTTGAGTCAAATCAGACAATCTAATCAGATCAAATAAAATAAGTTTAGATAAAATCAGAGAAAAAAAATTCAGATCAAATTAGATAAACAAAAATAAGGTGAACTAAACAGACCCTTTTCCTTATTTTTGTCTAAACTCATCCCATTTTTATTTGGTTTTAATTAAGAATTAGAAATGTGGAGTAAAGATTAACAAATTTTTTTACTTGTATATGGTTACATGATGTGACGATTTCACATATAAGCTAATTATTATAATAAATTATAGGGGTTACGTCTTACGTCTTACGGTCATTGGCAAATGGAGTAAGTTTACTTATGTGAATTACTTATATGAGAAAATGGAGTGAATCAAGTGGAAAATAAGTAAATAAAAGTAGTAGAAGGTTAGAAATAGCTTCAAGTAGTGAGTTTAGAACCAATTTAATGAACGAAATATCAAGATTTTTTTTTATTTTTATTTTATGTAGAGAGAGTCACAAAAGACAATGATGTTATGTAGACATAATTTGATCCCAAGTTTAATGTACTACCCTAGAGGCTTTAGCCAACTATAGTTGTGAAACTACAATAACAAAGATAATTGGGTAAATGGAAGGAAACCAGGAAAACAGAGTTAATAAGAAGACATTAGGAAACTAAGACAAGGTTTTGACATTGGTCTTTGAAGAAACCTCAAAGAGAAGGGGCATGACCGCATGAGTATTGGCAGCTTAAGAGGGCATCATCAAAGTTATGTCAATATAAACATGAAATTAATCAAAGTTATTCTGAAATATGAATTTGCTCATTGTATTTTCTTCACCGATTTTCTTCATAACAATGTACCTACCTTTTCAAGCAACCAAACGACAAGATATGGGCTAGTTTGGCTTTTGGAGAAGGGGTAATTGGTATTATTTGTAGCATCTGTATTAGCTTATTTGCCACCATTTGTTGTTAAGGTTCTTAACACAAACAAATACTACCAAACTAGCTATGGAATTGAACCAAAGGACCACTTATTCAGGAAATCTTTGGTAAAGATGGAATGACTTAGCACAGAAGGAAAGTATGAAACCCTTGACGAGACTTGAAAAATAGAATGAGTATTTTAAGTCAAGACACTCCAAAATTAATCGATAGAATATGGTCTATCCTAACTTTACTGATTTAACGAAATTAGCAAATTCGTTGCCAAAGGATCGATATTCTGGTGTCTATTTGTATGACAACAAAAGATAGTCCATAGCTTGATTGCAATCATGATATAAGTATACCTAGTATTAATTAACGATGTCAAAATCACAACGTTGAGCATGTATATTTGTTAAAAGCTAGAAAAAGTTTGCCTAGAGGAGTAGAAGACCAAGCATCAAAGAAGGCTTCGAAGGGGTCTTACAGAAGAGAGACTACTACACTACATAAGAGTTTAATTCGATACAAAAAAGCTTTTCTTTATTAATTTTATAATAAGCCTTTGAATAAATTTTATTAATGACCATATTTCTAATCCATCTTGTATTCTTGTTTCGTAATGAGATCTAACCAGTTTATTACATTATTAGATCAAATTCTATTTGTAAGTGTTGTAACTATATAACTACATTCATTCTCCGGGCTTATTATAATTTATAAATACTAACAAACTCAACGACAAGTTGACAATAACCTAATCTACAACACGAATGTGTTTGCCTTTAGACAGGAAATGGGAGACGAAGGACACTACTATCATATTCATATGTATGTCTACATCACAGCATAGGATCGGATGATGTCCAAAAATGCAGTAATCCACAATTTGTATTACAAATAATAATGTTAATTAGACTACCTTATTGGATCTTGCAACAAAAATGTGACATATGACCTAACTCACTGTGTAGTACGGACCATATACCCTAAGAAAAAACCACTCCTTAGAATTCGTTTCTTACTAATCATAAAATTTCGCCATGTTAATTCATCAGGCAAATCACAAATGACTTGCAATGTCGTTCTAAATCTTAGTGTAAAGAATGTTTCTGTCTAAATTAATTGTATTATTACTTAGTGAAAGTACACTATGTCGATGTGAATTGATTCAGGCAGGAGAATATTGCACAAATTTGCGACAAGGCAAAGGCAAGACAAGGCAGTACAAAAACGAAACTCTGCTGATCATTGCTTCATTCGGAAGAGCAAACATTACAAAAGGAAGAGCGGAACTGCAAAGCAGATCGAAAACGTCGTGTTACATCACCATAATCACGACTCATACTACAAACTATTTGACATTGCATATTTTACAAGGTGTAAACACTATATTTCACATGAAAGCTTAGAAGAAACTCTAAGAACAAAAGGTCCATACACCAAATATTTACATACCACAAGCAAGCTGCTAGTCACAGTTTACAAGTGATACTTATATGATACATGGACATAAGGCTGGTATTAGTGAAGCCTCAACGACACCCTTAGCAAAGCAGGGTCGGGTGGGAGATTAGTCGAGCATCGTTGCTTCGACCTTAGATATCAGACATCTTAAGAAGAAGGAGCGCTTCCGCAGGTTCTGTCCTCGTTCGTTGCCTTCTCATTCGAGTCCGACGTAGATCTCCTCCGAAACCTGAACGCTCCTGATCTGTTTCCTAACCAAGCAATTAGAATTGCCAATTTGTTAGCTAACTAGGTCATTATCAATCAAAGTACAAAGAGATTAAAATTACTTAAAAAAGAATGCTACACTGCTAAATATAGTAGCCTAACTAGAAAAGAGTATCACATTGCTTGCCATAACTTTGTAACTTCTAACTACCTTGACAGTTAGCACCTAACATTATTTTCTCCAATTAATTGATAATTGATCTATCTACAATGATAGATTTGTTCTTTCTTACAACACTATAAAGAGGTCACCTAATTCGATATATTGACACTTAAATCTACAGCGTCATACATATCTATAACTATAACATGAAAAAATTCGACCCTTTTTTTTTTTTTTTTTTTTTGGGTTACATGAACAATCAAACACATGTATGTTAAATTTGACTAGACACGTCAAACAAAAATCGAAGTCTCAACCTCGTAGCTGAAAGATCGGCGACATTCTGCATTAAGAAATTATGATCATATAAACGTCTACATCATAAATTAGGATAACCAACCTTAAGCAATTGATTTAGTATTAATGTATTACTAATAACGTCAATGAGACTAATGCCGTATTGGAAAAGATCTTAGACTTTAAATGAAAGTAACACTTTACCTAACTTTCTTGGTACCATCATCTACCCAAAATTAAATCAGAAAAATACAACCTTATTAATCATCAATATTTTAATTAATTATAAAAATTAAGCAGTATAATATAAAGCCAAAAAATGGGCGGAATTTTCAATGGATAATACTATAATTGGTCCTACTAATATAATAACAAAATAATAAAATTATGAAACAAAAAGAAAAATTAACCACTCTACGACAAGTCATAATCAGAGTATCAGACCACCAAATATTATAAAATGACCAAAATACCCTCCCTAGACTTTTCCAGATCCCAACCTCACTTCACAGTTCACTCTAGTCACTCTTCCAACTTTACTGGAAAAAAAACACATGCAAAGGGTATTTAAGTAAAAAATCAGTACGAGTAAGAAAAGTCACCGGAAAACGGCGAAGACGGCGGCGTAGATCCGGCGGGACTCGCCGGAGCTGATCCAGCTCCCTGAGTATACCCCGGTGGCTTCACTATCATTATTTTCCTTGAAACTTTCACTTCTTCCGGATTATCCGCTCCTGATATCACTTCTCCACCGTACGATCTTCCAACACTACTCCCTCCCTCCATCTCTGTTAATCAACAAAAATTTAGCATTATTACTTTGGCGGACAAGATTAGTCGAGTATTAGTACTTTTAATAAATTAATCATCAGTTATGTTTTCGCTTTGGCGGAACTTGATTTGCAATAATATATGATAATAGTCGAAATGACGGGGTGTCGGGGTATACCCTTGGAAGGGGTGGAGCGGGAATGGAAAGTATTGAATTTGCGAAGACGTCCAAGGCCGGAATCCGGTTGAGGTCCGGCGAGAGTGTCATCCCAAAGCTTCTCCAAAAGACCCATTAATTAAAAAAAACGGCGTTTTTTCGAAATAGGAAAAGAAACGGTATTACCAGACTTGCGAAACGTTAGTGCGAAACGGTGGCTCTGTTATTGGGGAAGAGAATCGTGATGTGGGAAGAGTGGTATTTATAGATGGAGTGAGAAGATCGTGGCCGTTGATTTAGGAGATGGTGACGTAAGAGAGAGAAATGAGTAGATAAGGTTTGGAGGAGAGAGAAAGGGTGAGTGAGGGATTGGTGTGGTAGTCACGTGAGTTTGGGCCGGGTTTGTTGGAGGTGGAATGACGGATTTGCCCTTGGATTTGATTGGGTTTATTGCTTTGGGGTTGGGTTTGTGGATAATTACGGTGGTTGCCACTGTCAGAAGTTGAGATTTTTATACAGTGATTAATTTTGCCGCTTTTTGAATGATTTTTTTTGGGATTTTTTTTTTTTTTGCAGAGGATTGGGATTTGAGAATATTACAAACGTGATGGCATAGATCGTACAACACTTGTAATGGAAAATTCGAGAGTCTCTGAATCCTATATATGGTGATGTGCTAAAGTTGCAGATTGTTTGGTAAAAAGAGTTTTTTAAAAAAAAACTCCATAATACTATTCAGGGGGTGTAGCCAGTAATTAAAAGCTAACGGGCCAAGGCTATTATCTTTTCAAGGGCTAAAATACTTTCGTGTTAGCATTAACAATGAAAATTTTTCTATACAAAATTCAAAGTTAATAATTTTACCTTTTTTTTTTTTTTTTTTTTTACAGAGTTCATCATTTTACCTTAATATTATAACAAATCACAAGACAAATATAAAGTACTTCACAGAAAAAGTTAAAAACTACTCTAAATCGGTAACAAATAATTAAAATAAAGAGAAACATAAACTAATAATATACAACATGTAAAATGTAGAAACTTATGTATTTTGTTTTAGTCACGACATCATATCAAGGCAAACTCTACTCCAAATAATTTGAAATTAAAAAAAAAAAAAAAAAAAGAACAAAAAACAAAAAAAAAAAAAGATAAACTAGCAATATACAACATTTAGATTTTAAAAAGTTATGCGTTTTTTTAATATATGTCACAACATCATATAAAGGCAAAATCATGATGGTCATCAATTAATCAAAATTAGACAAAGTATTTTGAATTTGAAGCATTGAATCTTCATTTAACAACTTATACAAGAAAAAAAAAATAACAAAGAAAGAAAGAAGTGGGATCATAAAAAGATAAATAAAAGATTAAAAAAAACAACAAACAAAGTGGGAGAGTTAGAAGAATAGAACTTGTGACCTTGTGGTATCATGTAACACCTTTTCACCACTAAAGCAAGACTATTTATGTGTTATTAATTTTTACTTAATAATACATATACAATAAATCTGCAGGGGTCAAGTTAAAAAAGTTATGGGCCGCGGGCTAGGCTACGGGGGCCAGGCCCCTGCCAGCCCCCCTTGCAGCTCTGCCCCTGATACTACTCCTAATTTAAGATGACTATATGTTCACTATTTTAAATTCTACTCGTATATGATAATGAGCCAAGTGTGTTTAACTGGTCTAAAATTAGGAATTTTAACCTTTACATTAATTGGTAATGAAAGTTAGCTAAATACCAACTTTGTCCAGAAGTTACTAATCTCTGTATTTCTAAATGTTTTTTTTTTTTTTTTTTTTAATTTTATATATATATATATATATATATATATATATATATATATATATATATATATATATATATATATATATATATATAACTAATTTTGATGAGAGAACTGCCATCAAAGCAAGAAGATCATTTGAAAACAGGAGTTTTACTCTTTAAAAATAACTTACATTTCTACCATTTTAGTTTACTGTCACCTTCTAGTGTGCATTTCTACAAACAACTAATACAACCAAGTAGTCATATTGTACATCTAATGTACCGATTAGTCAAACCAATGGATCAATACAACACGTCATCTCTTAGTAACCCAAATAAGTAATACAAAATTATCTTTCCTTTCTTTTCTCATAAATCTAATACTTGCACTATTACTTTTACGTTACATTCCAAATTAATTGCAATATCACTCACAAGATGGAATTTACACTCATTTTGTTTCTACCTTTTTTCTTTAAAGTGAATTGTTAAATTTCTTAAAATGTTACAAATCATATTGTTGTGTGTATTATGAAACGGAACTACAAAAGTATGTATTACTTTAACTACCCTACATGCTTATACAACCAATAAAGCAATAATTGACTTGAAACATTTTCACACATAAAAGAAGAGTTGTGTAGTGCATGTGTTGTGCGACAGCGGAAGCAAAGATCGAAAACAATAAAGAAAACAACAAAGAAATTCAATGCAAACAATAAGAGCAACACACCAAGAATTAACGTGGTTCACTATCAATGTGATAGCTACGTCCACGGGCACCGAGATCAATGATTTCACTATAAACTGCAAAGAATTACAAAGATGAATCAAGTCTTTCTCAAGAATGGCTCTCTCTCTGTCTCTCGTAACCCTAGCACTAATATCAGGAAGTTTTTATATTATCCCCAATTAAAAGATACTTGGGCTTCAAAATAATAAAAGATAACTCTAAAAACCACCGCAAAAAAACGCGTCTCTATCGTACTCCTCTTCCGCCAGGTCAGACCGGACATGTCATGCCCGGTCGGGCGCGAGAAGTAACATCCATACGAGACACTTTACAATGCTTACCCTCACCGCCCGGTCTGACCGAGCCAGGCATGTCCGATTGGGCAGTGGGGATTGCAAGATCCTGTGCCACACCTATCACCGCCCGGTCTGACCGGGCAAGGCATGCCCGATCGAGCAGTGGAAGGCTGCACTAGTACGAGTCACCTATTCATCAACAGCATGTGTACGAGTATATGTAGCTATATACGTGTAAACATAAAAAGACATTATCTTCCATTTTTGAAGGAAGACTTTTCACTCAATTTTCGATAGTGAAATATCCAACAAAATCCAATTACACTAATTAATAAAAGGCCAAAATACCCCTAGATCGATAAGAGGCTTGATGAGGATACAGCTAGAATGAAAGAAAATACTACTTACGTATGAAATTGAGGATATGTTTTTATTGGGTATACACTGTAATTGATTGGTGTCTTTGGATTGGTATTGCATAGTAATTTATGCTTCAATTACCCAATGAGATAAAAATACAAATTATTTTATCAATGTAAAATAGTTTATTATTCCATGTTAAGTAATTGAATTTTCGTAATTCGTAGGTGTACCTTCCATAGTCCATGCAATTTACAACTCCCACAAAAGGTCAATAAGAAAAGCACCAAATTAAGGTGGCACCTTTGACATGAATCACATGACAATCAAAGATTCAAGGGCAATAATTATTGGTGATAATTGCTTACCATGAACTCTATTGATGATTTCATAGGACAAAATTTATAAGCTTACTAAAAAAAAAACCTTATTAATTAATTAATATAATAAACTGAACAAGCTAGAATATAATATTTTTATTGTAAATAACGTACTTCGTATTAATATGATATACATACAAGCCGATAAGTGATCAATTTATATATTTTTCACCTTTTATGAGCCACGTCAGCTCAAATTGATAACTAAATGTTCAATGGATAGGTGAAAATTTTATCATGACAGTACATCTCGAAACTAACAGGAGAGATATATACGAAGTAGTAATTAACTTTGTTGACAAAGCCACCTAGTAACATTATGACTCTTTCAACACTTCTAACAAAAAGAAAGAAAAGACAACCCCCATGGACAAACCTTTATGAAGAACATCGATCATTAGTTCAATTCAATCCTCTTTATGAGTCTTTATCACCCACTTGTTTGTTGTTCCTTTATTATAGCATGTTCTTCCCATGATTTGAAATCAATAATTGACCTCCACAATTTAAACTAATCAAATCAATTATCAAATCGACACTACTACTGTCCATGTCGTAATGAGGGGGGCGAACTAGGGAATTACAAAAATAAAATGTATGACTAGTACAAACTACAAAGTAAGATCATCAAATGTCCGAAATAAAACAATAAAATAATAAAGGGAAGATTGTGATTTATGAGATGTTATAACCTACTGTTGTGAAGGGAATAGATTATTAATTTTACGTGTCCCCTTATAAATATACTAATCTTGCAAAATCTGCCCCATGTTTTAGATTCTCTTACACTTACTTAGCTGGCCAGCAAATCGTCTAGATTCATCTACCCCTTAAAACAATTACTAAAAATTAGCTCTTTAAATCTAAAAATTAACAATATCTCACTACAAGAAATAGGCCAATTTTCGACGGACACGAAAATCCGTCGGAAAATACTAAATTTCCGACGGATTTAAAATCCGTAGGAAATTTCCGACAAATTTAGAAATTCCGTTGGAAATTTTCCGACGGAATTTAAATCCATCGGAAAAAGCTTAATTTTTGACAAATTTTATTCCGTAGGAAATTTCCTACGGATTTGTCCGTCGAAAAATAAATAATTTCTGACGGAATTTTTATTTTTAAAAAAATAAAATAAAACCCACAAAACCCTAATAGAGTATCAGCCGCCCCCTTCTTTTCACTATCTCTTCTTTCTCTCTCTTCTCCTCATTTCCTCTCTTCTCTCTCCTTTCTCCCCTTCTCTGTCCTCCTCTGTTCTTCCTTCTTCTTCTTCTCTTTTTCTCCTTCGCCCATTCTCTTCTTTCTCGTCCTCTCTTCTCTTTTTCCGCCGATTTTCCCAACACCCAAAGATACGGTGTTCCTCTCTACGGAGCTTCCTGGGTTCCGATCCATTGTTTCCACGAATTTTAACCCCGATGACGACGATAAACACGCCGACAAGTCCCTTACCGCTTAATGCCGGCCCGATTCTACATGATTTTGATTTTTTTTTTTTAAGGTTTTTAGGTCAAATTCAACCTTGAAAAGTCTAGATCTAGACTTTTAATGATCGAATTTGGCCTTATTAAACCAAATTGAGGTTAAATTCGTAGCCTATTTCAATTTTAAGGTATGTTTTCGTGTTTTAATTTTTTCTTTTGTTTTTGTTGTGTTTTTTTTAAAAAAAAATTTGGGTTGTGGTCGTGGTGGGTCTGGTGTTGGGTGGAAGGGATGAGGGGTGGTGAAATAAGGTGGGTTGTGGGTCGTTGTGGGTTGTGGTGGGTGCGGATCTGGGTTAGGATTTTCGGTGGTGGTGGGTGTGGTTAATGTGTGTGTGTGTGTGATGTGTGTCCGTGTGGTGGGTGGCGCAGGTTTGTGGTGGCTGTGGACTTAGGTGGGTTTAGGGTTAGGGTGGGTATAGTTTAGATCTGGGCTTAGGGTTAGTTTGGGGGGAGTGGCGATCTAGGCTTTGGGTTAGGGTTAGTTAGGGGTTGGTGGTGGTCTGATGTGGGGGGTAGTGGCGGTGGTGGTCTAATGTTGGGGTTAGGGTTAGTTAGGGGTTGGAGGTGGTGATACGCCGTGCCGGTGGTGGTGCGGCGTGTTGTTTTTTAATTTCATTGAAGCATTTTCCGACAGACTTTTCCGGGGTCGGAAAATCTCTTCCGACGAAGGAATTTCGTCGGAATGTCGTTTTTCTTACAAAATCTTTTCCGACAACCAGTTTCGACGGAATTTCCGTTGGAAACAGGTTTTCCGACGGAATTCAGGGTATTTCCGGTGGAATTTTTTCGTCGAAAATGGCCTATTTTCTAGTAGTGTCTTTTTTTAGGGAAATTCTCAATGGTACTTATCAATTTTTTATTTTTTCAATGGTGAACAACAAATTTTTTTATTATCTTTAGTACTTATGTATTATTAGTATATATTAACAATAGCATTAATAATATATTTTGATTAAAATATTTAACTAGGGTTGGTTTTATTATTATTTTTTAATAATTAATTAATTTTAAAAATAATTAAAAAGAAAAACCACCTCATCCCCACCAACTACCCCCGCCCTTCACGCGACCCTCCCTTGCCCCCCGGCGCCGGCCATCCACTATCCCCCTGCCGCATCTCCCTTCCCCCATAACCACCCAACCCCTTCCCCAAAACTCCCAACTGGAGCTCCCACTTCTTCACTGCTAATCAAAATACAGAAGGGCGGGGGTGACTGGTGGGGATGAGGTGATTTTTCTTTTTAATTAAAATTATTTAATTATTAAAAAATAATAATGAAACCAATCATAGTAAATATATTTACCAAAATATATTATTAATGTTATTGTTAATATATACTAATAATATATGAGTACCAAACATAATCGAAATTTTCGCTGTTCACCATTGAGAAAAATAAAAAACTGATGAGCACCATTGAGAATTTCCCTTTTTTTGTTAAATGTATAATTGTATTCATGTTAATGCACAGGATATATGCAGAGTATTTATTCAAAAAGAAAGTTATATTTTATTTTATGATCGAGATTTGGAGCGTTATGGTTAAACAGTTTAAAACTAAGGTAGGTTTGTTTACCTTTCACTAATTTTAGGAAAATAAATGGAAATAAGGGTTAATAACTTCAGGAAAATATATTTGAAAAAATGGAAACTAATAATCCTACCTTTAGTGGGTCTTCCATAAACAATCCCACCTTTTGAAATTCCATAAACAATCCTACCTTTGACATGGATCTTCCATTAACGATCCCTGGCCGGTTGGTTTGTTTTGGTAACCGATTTCTTAGGTTATAAGACACGTGTCGGAATTCAATAGGTTTATTCTAATTTTTAATTATTAAAAAATACAAAACTAATAAATAAAAAATTAAATAGAAAACCAAAACCCCCAGCCCCGCCACTGCATTCCCCTCCCCGTCCCCGTCCCCGTCCCCGCCCTTGCTTTTCCCCGTAAACTACCTCTCCTTGGCAACTACCTCTCCTCGGCAACCCAACAACAATAGCCGCCGGGTGTTCTAGAAAACCGCCGTCGTCACTGCCCTATATTGTCGTCAAGCTCTCTCCTCTTCCCGGCGACACCTTCAATTACAGAAATTCCGGTGTTATTCAAAGTGTATTGGTGAAATACTGCAGATTCCGAACGTACGACGTCGTTTACGAGTGGAAATAGTCGTTAATTCTTCTGTATTTTGATTCTGGGAGTCGCTTTTCAATGGCGAGCATAATTTGACCCCAATTTTGATTTGAAACGTCGTCGTTCTGTCTATGGGTTGAGTTTTCAGGGCTAGCCAGCTAGGTGGGGGTTTTTCGGGATTAGGGTGGAGTATTTGGGGCCGAGGGTTGAGTTTTCAGAGACGGGAGGATTTTTCAGGACTGTGGGTGGAGTTTTTAGGGTTGTGGACTGTGGTGGAGCATGGCGGGCTGAGGGTTGAGTTTTCAGGCTGGGTGGTTGGGGGTTGGGTTTTGGGGGTGGTTATAGGGTTTTCTGGCGTGGTTGGAGAGTTCGGTGGTGGAGGTAAAGGGTGAGAATGGGGTGGCCATGATGGTGGATTGGTGGTCGGAGAAGAGATTTAGTTAAAAAAAGGAAAAAAAAAAAAAAACCTGTTTAACTGGTTGTAGGTCAAAGGGATCGTTAGTGGAAGATCCTTGTCAAAGGTGGAATTGTTTCTGGAATTTAAAAATGTGGGACTGTTTATGGAAGACCCACTAAAAGTGAGATTATTAGTTTCCATTTTTTCAATATATTTTAATAAGTTCTAATAAAATTTAATAAAGAATATTCAAGTTGAATTTTCAAATTAATTAGGTTCTATTTACACTATAAAATCTATAGTATTGTAATATATTTACTTAAGTGAAAATCAGGTGTAATAAATATATCGTAACTTCTATATGTCCCATTACCACCATAGTACTTTTAGGCATAATGGACTGCACTAGATTAGGCAAGTAAACGTTCCGACCCTTTTCCCTTAAATAATCTTCGGAAATTAGACTATTTTCGACCCTTTTCCCTTAATTTTCTTTAGTTTTGCAATTTAGATTTCAATAAATCTACATGAGTAGTGTAGATATTCGTCCGTCTCCCAATGGTGGAGTCGTTAGTTTTTGTTAGTTTATGTTTAGGGTTTGTTTGTGTGTTAGGGTTTATGAATAAGGTAATCATCATTTTTTCCTCTATTATCAGTTCGTTGGTAAAGATTTGTTCGGGATCACAACGGTTGTCAAGTTTTCAACTGCGTCCAAGTGAATAAGATGAAAATCATCCTTATGGCTACAACAAATAGTGAGACCGTCTTTCCGAAAAAGCTGTATATTCCAGCGATGTGTGCGAGAGATGTACCACAATGCAATATCTATTCAACGATCGTAACTTTGATGAAGGAAACCCTAATTTGATTCAATTTTATGTATTTGTTAATTTAGATTTTATTTGTAGATGTCGTATGACTTTTTATTAATAAATTGTTTTGTTTAAAAAAAAAAAAAAAAAAAAAGAAAAAAAAAGAGAGATTAGGCAAGTAAACGTTATGAGTATATTGGGCCAGATTAGTTTCAGAAGATTTAGGCTTAGTCCCAGTGCTTTCCAAAAAAAAAAAAAAAAAAAAAAAAGGCTTAGTCCCAGTGGGCCAAACACACCCATACACTTCCTGACATCCTGGTCCCTCCCAAAAAAAGTTTTCATCCAGTTTTTTTTTATCTCTCTGCGCGCAATTAGGGTGTTGATACTATTGAGCAATGATATAGTAAAACGGTGTTGGTAATTGGTATGCTTGCTTGCTTTATTTTGAAATGTTCATCCTTGTAGAATTAGCTGTCACATTTGCTAGTGTAACTTAAATCAACGAGGTAACATACTAAATTTGAACAGAAGCAAAGACCGCCTTTGAAAGAATTTATTCTAAGTGGAGTGATAGAGGTATTGGCGTGTAGCATATGTATTAGTGTATGATAAAGATCTTTGAAACTAGAAAAATATAGTTTAAAGTGGTAAGATCACTAAAGTGTATAAGCATGCATTGTCCTCTATGGCAAGAGTAACAAACATCTAGCTCTAGCTTGTACATCATATGTAAGTATCACATGTTTAGATCGAACTTTAGGTACGGTGTATTTAGTTCAGACTCTTCCTTACAGACTGTCTATATATTCGCCCCTGACGCCCCATGATGTTTAGATTTCCCTCTCAATGCAGGTACATGCACTGCACTTGGAGCTTCACAGGGGTTAATATGAAATGGACTGGTCCACTAAATCACTAATCCAGACCAAAGTTTACTGAAAAGAAGGCAAGAATTCATGCTTGTCTTTTGTAAAAATTACAGAGATGAGAACAATTTTTTCTCTCCATTGCACTTGGCCAATGTATGAGAGTTTATTATCCGATCGAATTTATCTTAAGAGTTGGATGTGTTGATCCTACAATGAGGCCGGACTGAGGAGGTTTAAGTTAATATTGGTAATTGTAAATAGTGTGATATGGTGAAATTTTGTGCGATGATTATTAGACATGAATGTTGGAGAGGTGTTTATAAGAGAAGTTTTAGTGGAAATATATCACTAATTTTGATGATTCATCCATAGTTTGTATTGCTAGAAAAATTGGTGATTTGAAATTAAATTTGTGGAATGGCAGTTCAAAACTAAAAATTAGGCGACAATTTTATAGCAGGCTACGAAGTTGCAATTGGTAAGGTAGATCTACTATCAGGCATGAAAGTGAGACTGATGAAAGACTCAAGTCCCTGACTCATTCAGCCAACGGCAAGTTCTGACCTGGTTTAACTGGCTTGTGTTTTCTACTCTATGGACCGCGAGATTCATCGCCCATCTCTCTGGACGCGAGAAAACTACAAAAACACTATTGGTTTTGAAAAAAAATGATGATTATAGACCAGCATGGCTTATATGGACCTGCACAATGATAGAACGAAATGGAAGAAACTTTTTTCCTATTTTCCCTTGCAGTTGAATTGCCGATAGCGATGTAACTTTGACTACTCCTAGTTAGCAAGAACAATGAGCTAGTTACACAAAGTTTCATACCTTTTCTTATTCAATAAAAAAGACAGGCAAGAAATTTTAAACTCGCCAATGAATACACAATACATAAGCCAGTGCATAACTGCATTTCAAATTTCACCCACAATATCTGAAAGAGAAAAAGTATGCTCGAATCAGATTCCTACACTTCATTACTGGGGATTAAGATGTTCTTTTCCATCATCACAATTGAAAAACAGCTTGAGACATTATATCAAATTTCTAGATACCTAATATCATAACTAAAGTTCTGCTTCAATTTATAGTAATTTCACACCAGCTTCTCTCATATTATCAACCACTGCTTTGATCTTACCATGATACTTCTGTTCTCTCTTTAAGAAGATTGAAACAGCAGGAATGTTCTTAACAAGCAAGCGCTCGCCAAGAATCTTCCCAATTTTAGCAGCAGCTGCCACATCTCGTGTGATTCCCATGGTTGGTCTCAAGGCCTTTTCCTGTGAGCTTGCAGAAGCAGCTACTGTGGCTGTTGGAGAGTGGATGACTTGAGCATGAACAAATTTGTTTGTGAAGTGCATTTTTAGCACATATGGCTTCAGAAATTCTGTGATTCTTGGAGCTCTGACTGGTGGTGGGATCACCATCTTGTCCTGCAATGAATTTTGCTACCATTACCAGTATGAATTTTACGTTCAATAAAATTTTTGGGGGTTCAATAGAGGATATGACATTCAATGGATAAGAGAAATTTCTTTCTGAATTAAACTTGAAAACTGAGTAATAGAGAAACAAAATGAAGAACTCTCAACCTCATCAGCCTCGACTTTCAACATCACAGAGTACTAACTACTAAGTATCATCTAAAAGACTAAACCTGAGGTTGCAATTTCAGATCAAGACACAAGACATTTCATGGCAGCCCATATACCTAGCTGCGTTAGGGGCTGGAGCATTGATTGGGTATCTAAACCAAAAAAACATATGTACTTTGGATTGTATCTGATATCCAGAAATTGCAAAATACACTATTGGTATATGATCTAAAAATTTATGTCACATCAACTAACCAGATTTTTGGTTGTAGCGATTTTTGTGGGGGTCATAAAAGAAATAACAAAGCATCAAAGCCCTCCAAATTACAATAAGATTTCCCATGAATGACCACTCTAAATAAACTATCGAAACTTGAATTTTGATTCTTTCTAAGTAAACCATCAATTTACTTTGAGCCTTAATCAACAAGTTTGTATAATAATATTTAACCATAACCTCAAACACCTCTCAAGTACAAGTATTTACATGAAATCAGCCCACATTCTAACCAAAACCCCAAGAATACACATTTCTTTTTGAAATTCATAGGAAAGCAATTTTTTTTTTTTGTGATTTCACTGAATTCTAGATCCAGAAAAGCAAACCAATCAGTTCACCAACACCATGTTGATCAATATGATCATTGCTATTGCATCAAAGAACAAACTCATACTACCACACTACCAATACAAGTTCCAGTAGCCTAAGAGGTGATACCAAATTACCAATACAAGTTTGGTGCAACTCGACTTGACTCAAAACAACATCAAAAATTGAGATTGCACCAAAATATGTTTACTATGAATAATCAATAATGTTATTAATCAAAATTCAAGTACTTCCTAGTAACAAATGGACTATACTTTGCCAAGTTTGGCACCACAGTTGGCCCAAATTAACCATTTTCAAATCAAATTTGCAATTCATTGCAAAATTTTATACAGCAGTTACAGCTTATGCTAAAATAATCAAGTCAAGCACAGAAATTCAAAAACATGAAGAACATCTTGAATTAAAAAAATACACAAACAAATTGTTGACATAATCACGCACATCAAAGTTAAGCTAGAAATTGCATTTCATCATCGTCTATTTCGCTAAATTACTTCTACAAAATTACTAAATTTCTATACGAAATCATAATGAAGTTAACAATTTTAACAAAATTCATATGAAATTATTAGCGATTGCAGCTTAAGATAGCAGGAAGAGAGAGAAAATCAATACCAGAAGATTAAGATGAGCAGCAGAAAGTCGATTGAAACTTAGATTTCCGTGGAGAAGAAGAAGGCGATTGCGACGGCGAGGGAAACCGGCGGCAGGGCGGAGAAAAGGGTGAGTGGTGAAACCGGGTGGGTTATAAGGCTAACCGGGCCTTGCTTTGTTTTGGGCTTTGACTTAGTTTTGATATGTCAAAACAATTCATTGTAACCCATATAAAAATTAATCTTTGTGTAGAGAGCTTGCTCTGAATTGGACTTTTATTTTTTATTTTTATTCATATATTTTTTAACATTGCTCTAAAATGATTAAGGTCTCGTTCAACAGCGTATTTGATGTGCGGCTGAAAAAAGCAATGTAACTCCTATAACAATAACCGAATAACCCTTGTAATAATCAACTAATAACCCATATAACACTGATCAAGTAACTCTTATAACACTAACGAAGTAACCCCTGTAACTCTGAATGAGTAACCACTATACCACTAATGAAATAAACCCCATGATGGCTGACCCCACTGTGTGACCAGTCACTATAAAAATGTGTGCTCATTCAATAGTTTTGTTCACATCAAAAAATTGAAGTTTATAAATTGAAGCTTTGATTAAGGCCGTGAATAAAAGTTGTCAATTTCTTATTCTAAAGGCAAGAATATTAGGGTCTGGAGATGAGGTTTAAAGGATAAACTAATCTTGATTTGGGGATTTTTACCCCAGCCACGTGGACCAATGAGAGTGTGACACGTGTCACCCTAGAAAGAATCCAAATAGACCTACCTGGACTTGACACGTGGCATACAAATATTCAAAGGGAATGACGGATTTCAAGGCCCATTTCCCGAGAAACCGCAAAAGCGGCACAACCCACCAAATCTAGGTCAAGTGACCTACGTAAGGGCACTATTCCCAATGGCCTATAAATAGGGACATTTACCCTATTTTGAAAACAACGTTCATTTATTACATCATAATCAATTCTCTCTCATCAGAGAAAACACCTGATTTCGAAATCCGAGAAGATTTACTTCCTTTCCGCATTTTGCTCTCCGTACACGTACTAACTTTATCATTGGAGGCGGAACTCCGAACAACCGGAGCTTCTGTTCGCGGCCGGTACAGCCGAGCGAGGAGCCAGTCTTGGTGACGTAACTCTCCCGTAGAGCATCTCGCAAAAAACCCGAAACATTTGGCGCCGTCTGTGGGGAGAGTACCTTTAAGATGGTTTCTCAAGAGACTGTACCGCCTCCTGAGGAAAAGCATCCGTCAGTTGAGGTCTATTCGAACCACGATACATAGTCGGATCCAGAGGTCGAAGTATTTGCGGCCTGTAGGGAATTTTTCAAACCCAACCTTGAGCCTCACTGTGATCATGCGTTTAGGCATGGTAGCGTCCAAAGGGAAAGAAGCTAGAGATAAAAGAGTCGCCAATAAGTTTTAAGAACATGTAAACCGTTCAAGGGTGTGAAGGTTACACCCCATTCACGATCACGGAGATCGCTAACTCCATAATGGTCCGGAACCATGACTGGATATTCGGGGATGATGGTACGAATCCAACCTAAAAGAGATTGAACCCGCCCTAAATCGGCCTCCACTTAATTCTTATGATATTCATGTATGCTTTGCGATCAACATACATACATCAAGTTAGCCCTAAATCTGTTTAATCTACGTTGGTTGATTATTAATGCACATATAAATCTATTATTTGCATAAAAAAAAATAAAAAAAATAAATAAATCTATTATTGGTGATCACTTAAATTAAAATCATATTAACCCTAAATCAAATTATTAATTATCTTATTAGGCGTGATTTCAAGTACAAATTCCCTTTAAACTTGCAAGAAGGGGCTTTATCAAGCAATAACAATAAATCATGAATAATCAAGCAACATAAAATTGACACAACAATCATCATCATTATCAAAACATTATTAAAACATGATTAGCAAGATCCTAGGCATGATACTAAACGGATTAATAACAAACCCTAGCATGTCACTAATAATAAAGATCAAAGCATTAACCTAAACATGATACTGGAAAGTATGATATTAGAAATATTAATTAACACCCTAAACATGATACTAGGAATCAAAATCAACATCCTAAGAATTAAAATCAACATCCTAACATGATTTCTATATCTAACGAATAATTAAGTAATCAAATTACTTACTTTGATGCCTCGTATCTCTCCTTCTATCAACACAATACACACGTTAGTAAACTCCAAGAAAGATTAAATCAAATAAATAAATAAATTAGATAATAATTGAAATAGATATTTGGGACCAAACTCTCAGAACTATTAACCTTTCACGTTGAGGTCGAAGGCAACTTTGAGATTGGCTAGGAGTATTCTAAGCTCGTGAGGGAGGTATGGTGTTTGCTTGGGAAAAGTATCAAGGATGTGTTAGGACGTGTTAAGGCTAGGCTAAGAAAAGAATCAAGAGAGAGAAAAAGTATTAGAGACGGGATTAGATGATGATTGTTATTGATCAAACTTGTTGATGATTGAAAACGAAGTAAACGACCTTTATAAGGAAAAAAGAGGGTCGAAGGATCAGAAAAGAGTCAGAATTCGAATCGGAATAAAACAGGTTCCATCGCGGCGCGACAAGATTGTCGTGGCGCGTCGGGACCATTGCGGTGTGTTAGGTTCACCGCGGCGCGACAGGGTCCATTGTGGCGTGATGTGACTATCGCGGAGCGATGGTTCTGCCGTTCTGCGACAGTTTTGAAAAGATAAGAATCCGTGCGAGTTTGATTCCCAATCGGATTAGGTTAACCAAATATCCGTACGTATTCTATTTTGACCGGGATTAGGATTATAAAAAAAGAGATGTTTTATTTAAAATCAAATTCTTAAATCGTTCTTTATCTTTTCGAAAACAGGATAAATTAGAATATTCTAGAGGATTCTAGAAGCTTTATAATAAATCCTAATGGATTTAGGATCGAAAACAACTTTTTAGAAACTTGTAATAAATCCTAATTGGTTTAGGAATGGGATTAAGGTAAATGGACCCTCCACATGATCATCGGGTCGCAGACAAGGCTAAGTTAGGGCTCGGTTTAGTATTTTGGCCATAACTTCTTCGTTATAAGTCGGATTTGGGCTTACAATATGTCGTTGGAAAGCCCTTTTCAAACCCCATCCAACTTCACAATAATTGGACCGGAATCATGGACCAAAATAAACTAGTTTGGACGTTTTTATAAAGAGGACACGAAATAAATGGTTTTGAGAGACACGAAATGAATGATTTTGGCTTAAAACATAACAGGGAACGAGGCGATAACCAGGCGGGTCCGAGCAAGTCAGTTGACCAGCCTCAGCTTACAAGACAGAATGCTCACATCACCCGTGAGGAGTTTTTCAAGTTCATGATGAATTTTAAAGGTGAGATGAGATATCTCATCAAGACCCAGACGGCTGGTTCAAGCAAAGGATAGTCGTCCAAGAAACCTTCTCACTTTGGGAAGACAATTCCGGTCAAGGACAGGCAGCCCACTCCGCATCTAAACAGAAGGAGGGGGACCGACCCTTAATTGACTAGACTAATATTCGTCTCCCAGGGGCGAATCAGAGAAAGCCCATCCGGCATGTACAACCGGATGGCAGCACGAAGACTTACGCTGATGCTCAGCATTTCATTGAGTAAAAGCGGAACAACCAACTGTCTGACACGACTTCAATGTCGACAATGCCAGACAGCTTCAGGAATACCTAGATGAGGTATTCCCCATCTGTACACGAGTATCTGTCAGGAGGCCAGTCTGTCCACACAGGTCCTCAAATGATAGGCTCGGTGTCGTATGTGCCCCATCAAACATACAGGCTGTTTGTCCAACCTTATCAGCAACCGGCCCTCTTTGGAGATCAGCCGGCATATCAAGTCCAGCCCCTGGACTAGCAGCTATGTCTGCTGAGACGTGGAGAACAACCCTCTGTATTCTCCAGGGAAATAACCGAGGCGACACAACCGACCAAGGTTAAGAATGCCTTGGTTGGTGCCTATGATGACACCACCAACCCCGAAGACCACCTGATGGCCTACACCAACCTCATGTATCTACAGGGGTTGGATGATGCCGCATGGTGTAGATGCTTTCCAGCTACACTGAAGGGCATTTGCCCAACAATGGTTCGGCAACCTGCCGCCTGGGTGCATAAACAATTTCAAGACGTTTGCGTTCCTGTTCGCCTCAAATTTTTCCATGAACATACCTGCCAAGAAGACAAGCATCAACTTGGGCACGGTTATTCAGGGAGACAGGGAGGGGTTCCGTTCTTCTGTCAGGCTGTTCAATTTCGTGAGAATCCAGATCCAAGGACTGTCTGACGAAGTGATGTATGTGTTTTATACCATGTTTTACCCCGGTTCTACAATGTATATTTGCATGGTTTTGGGCTCTTTGGAGCCATTTCTTGCTAACAATCTGTTCTCTAGTGTGTTCTATCTATTTTATTGAGTTTCATAGGAATACAAAGTTTCTTGGATGAATCGGACATGTTTTGGATAGTTAAAGAAGAGGTTAGTGTGTGAAGACGAAGATTTTCCCCATGCCCTGTTGACCATAGCTTGCCCGGTCAGACTTGGCAAAGAAGGAAAAAGCTAGCTATGAAGTATTGTTACAGACTCTACGCGCCCGGTTGGGCATAGCTCGCCCGGTGAGACCGGGCATTGAAGAGTTGATTTCACATCTCAGTTTTTGAAGTCGCCTTGCGCGCTCGATCGGGCGTGGCTTGCCCGGTGGGACCGGGCGCAGGAAGATAGAAGAACAACGAGGCAGGACGTCGCAGCACCCTCCACCGCCCGATCGGGCAACCCTTGCCCGGTTGGATCGGGCACTGTTTCGCGGAAGTTGTTTTGTGTAATTTCGTAATTTTATCTTTTTGGGGGTATAGATACCCTTTGTAATCACAATTAGAATACTTTTGATTATATCCTCTAGTATTAGTTTTCCCTAAGAACCCTAGTTTTACTCTCTTTTAAGCAATTAAATTCTTCTCTTAGTTTTGGTTTATTGTTCATCAACAATTCAAGTTCTTTCAATTGAAGCAATTGGTATTCATCTATTTCATTTCTCTTTTATTTCTTATTGCTTATTGATTATGTCTTGTCTATTGAATCTTGATTTTGATTTTGTTAATATGTGTGAGTAGATTCTTAATCCGGGATCTTAAAAAGCCCGAATATGATTGACATATGAATTGAATCTTTAATTTCTCCAATAATAATCCCAATTGACATGCTTAATTGATTGTGTTTATGCCAATGCTAGATTAGGAATA